TTCAGTTTGTGAAATGGTAAACAAATTATTGAAATTTATTGATTTGATGTGTTTAACATTTCATTAATACAAATTTCTTTCTTTTCAGACCACAAATTACAAGCAGAGCTTCATCAACGATCATTGCAAGGAGAGCTACTGCAATCCCTGCGGTTTTTCCTCTAGGTAAATGCGTTCTGGGTAGAGCTGCAAAAGTATCGATATTCGCCGTACTCGATATTTAAGAGACAAAAACTCGATATATCGATATATATCGTTAATTTTTAATTCTACACTGAAAAACTGAAAAACATCTCATTCAAAAAATGAATAGAACCATTTACCAACAGAAAATTTTATTATATATGTATATGAGGTACATATCTCTGTTCGTATGGAAAAGTAGCTTATGTCGAAGGGCTGGATTTAGTATAAATCGGTATTCGCAGCATGCATGTTGTTTGGCGCAAAAATAAGTAATGAGAAAATGGCTAAGCCACACTCGATATCGAACAAAAACTATCGATGTCTGCAGAAAAAAAACAAAAAAACTCGATATATCGATACTGACATCGATATATTTGCAGCTCTAGTTCTGGGCGTGACAAAGGATGGTCTTCCAAATCAGCCGGAATCCCCAAACATCTATTGTACAATGTTAGCATTGGAATTCCATAGTGCAAACTCTTATCCTCATAACATTTTTATTTGCGTTTGTAGGAGCGTCTGATAGCCCACTTGCGTACATAAATAGAAAATACAAAACGTGGCGAAGGACTTGTATTTGAAGATGATGAGTACACAACATTGGAGACTGAGAACATGAAGCTAAAGCATAGATTAGCAATTCTGAATAATACTATGTTCGGACCGACATCGAAAACATGTTTTCGTTGCTATAACTGGTTTTGGCGAAATTAAAATATTAACAAAAGAAAAAGGTTGCTAATGATAATAAAATTAAAGAAAAAGATTTTGATTTTGTTTTGTTTGCTACGAAAAAACAAAATCAAAATCTTTGTCTTTCATTTTCTTATCATTAGCAACCTTGTGGGCTGAAAGCTGTTCGCACCCGTGTTTTCGTTGACATTTTCTTCATCCTTTGTTTGCAAATTTGCTATGAAAAACCAAAACCAAAATCTTTTTCTTTCATTTTCTTACTATTAGCAACCTTTTTCTTTCATTTATATATCAATTTGGCCAGCCAATTGGCAATAAATCCCAACTTCCATATTAAAGATGATAAAATATGACTTCCACTTCGATAAATATACCAAAAAACTAGTGAAGACACCAATTGGAATGAGTGGAACGTTAGTTTTCAAATAGTTTTTGTTATGTGAGCAGCCCCCGTCAGCAGCTCAGATGACTGAACAGTTTAAACTTAAAAAGTCTGCATAAAAATATTAAAACAAAAATGTTCTACGTAATCATAATAATCAAATTTTTGATATNGGTAATCATAATAATCAAATTTTTGATACCGATATTGACTTTTGAGGTATAATTTTAATTTCTTTGCGAATAAGCTCATTCAAAGTATGAAAGTAAGTGTAACGTGGCTGGCTTTTGGGGCGAATTACGGTGGTACTAAGGCATGCTGGCGTCATTACCACCAATCTCACCTCTATCTAGCAGGATTTGCAGCGTTGAATTTAAATAAAAAAAAAAAACAGTTCTTTCCGTTTTAACGGATTGACATAATTACTTAAGCAGCGAAAAATTACACTGAAGATGGCACAACGCCGAAACCGGTTTGTCTCCAAACCAAATTTGACAAGGGATGACGGAAAGCCGATCCACATTACATTAAACAACAATACTTTAACTTTTTTTATTTTACTTTCTGTCTTTCACACCGACTCGAGACTTCTCGAAACTAACGCACTTTTCTTTCTGATCAAAAAGAACTTTTCTTTGCCGATCGTACCCTGCAGCATTTGCCGCCCTTTGAAACCTCCTTTCACGATGCCACTTTCACTCAAAACGATAAACGATCGCACGCATCCATCGATACTTCACCGCTTTCATCGCACTCATACTAATGTAAATGTATTCCTACGCTTAACACAAACATTCATAGTTCAGGCCGACCACGTACACATGTATGTGCATAAGCATCCTTATTGCTCTATATGCAGATACATGCATAGAGATTGTTTTGTTGCCTAGATGTTTTGCGTTGATGTTGCTTGTATGTGTTGTGCGCAAGTTACTTGCAACCTGGCAGGCTGGCGCTACATAAGATAAACGAGTGTAATTCCATGTTGAATTAAGACGCGTTGGTATTGAATAAAGAAAAAATTGGGACGTGAATGATTTTTTTTGCAAAGAAATAAAAAGGATGAGAAAATACCTTTCCACTGATACCTCATAACTCTATATCGGTAAAGTTTTGGAGCAGTTATTCTAGTTTTCCTTACATAAATCTTTGAAAAAAGTTAAAAAACAGCATCAAAAATCTCATTATTATGATTCCGTTGATACAATTTTTTATGTAGACTTTTGATGGTTCAACTGTTTGGTCATCTGAGGGGATTATTTCCAAAAAAATCCTTTAAGAAACTATTTTTGTTCATAAAAAATTAATTNTGCATAAGCATCCTATTGCTCTATATGCAGATACATGCATAGAGATTGTTTTGTTGCCTAGATGTTTCGCGTTGATGTTGCTTGTGTGTGTTGTGCGCAAGTTACTTGCAACCTGGCAGACTGGCGCTACATAAGATAAACGAATTAAGACGCGTTGGTATTGAATAAAGAAAAAATTGGGACGTGAATGATTTTTTTTGCAAAGAAATAAAAAGGATGAGAAAATACCTTTCCACTGATACCTCATAACTCTATATCGGTAAAGTTTTGGAGCAGTTATTCAAGTTTTTCTTACATAAATCTTTAAAAAAGGTAAAACAGCATCAAAAATCTCGTTATTATGATTCCGTTGATACAATTTTTTATGTAGACTTTTGATGGTTCAACTGTTTGGTCATCTGAGGGGATTATGTATTTCCAAAAAAATCCTTTAAGAAACTATTTTTGTTCATAAAAAATTAATTTTTAGAGGTATTTTCAAACCGATCCAGCTCACATAAATCTTAATATTTTTCCGAAATATTTTGGTAGAAGTCTGAAAATATACTAGGTTTGGTAATCCCGCCGAAAAAACCGCAACTTTTTTTGCCGATGCCGTATCTATAGCCGCACCAAATTTTCACAAGTTTTAAAATATTATTTTTGTTGTTATTTAATTTTGGTTAGTTTTTTATAGTTCACTCTTTAACAACATCCGTATAAATACAAGTTTAAAGGCAGTGTCAGACGATTGGGTATTTGCCAAAATTTGGTGCAAATCGTATCCCAAATATTTTTCTTTATCCCAATCATGAAAATTAATTTGTTGAAATTTTTCGATAGAACATCGCTGTGTTGTACCAATCTTTTGACTACAAAAAAAATGTTCCCACTTTTTATTTTGTATATGAAAATGTACCAATCTGTACCAAATGTACCAATCGAGCCCCACTGACTTAAAAATGTATGCAATTTAAAAAAAAAATTCAACAAATTTTCGTAAAATTTTCGAGTTTTTTAATTAGATTCTGAGTATGCAGTTTTGTAGCCCATTGAATTCTAGTAGAATAGAGGAAAAGTTTCAAATGGCTAAAAACTAAGGTTGATTTTTTAGAATTTTTAAAAAAGCTCGAAATTTGTACGAAAGTTGGTTAAATTTTTTTTTTAATATTGCACAAATTTGGTAACTTGGATTTACACGGGTTTTGTTAAAGAATGTACTATACTCTTATAAAAAAAATAACCAAAATTAAATAACAACGAAAATGATACGTTAATTTTTTGACCACTGTATGAATTTTTTAATATCTTTAATTGGAAATGCACATTGTACGTAAAGGAAGTACATAACATAACAGAACACCTGCAACCCCTTATCTATCTTTAGTACTTTAGATTCCTATAGGGTTGTTACCTGTCTAAAAAATTATTACATCCGCATTGTTCGTTGGATTACAGAAAGAGGGTGTCAAATAAAAGGGATTGGCTTTTTGATGTTCAGTAATGTATTACTTTTTGAGTAGGGTTGCCTCTTTTTTTAAATGATAAGATCTTCACAGTTTTTTTGACTAAAAACTGAGGTATCAAGTGAAAGGGTATATTCTCTGCAATAATGTGCAATAAGTTTTTATTTTTTGTTTGAGTGGGGTTGCCACCCATTTAAAAATTATGTATGTATAATACGCGAGGGCATTTTTTGTTACTGACATTAAATTTTCACAGTTAATTCGATTTAAAAGAATGGGGTGTCAAATGAAAAGGCTTGACCTTTCGATTTACAGTAAGGTTTTATTTTTCGAAAAGGGTTGCAACCTGTGCGAAAAATTAAAATATGTGGTCTGTTCCTTAGATTACAAGAAATGAGGCGTCAAATGGAAGGCCTTGGCCTCCAGATGCGCAATTATATATTATTTTTTTAGTACGGTATCAACCTGTTTAGTTGTCAATCGCATCTTATTTAATGTCTATTACATTCAACGCGTGGTAAAGCCTCGCGCATACGAGGCCGGCTAGTATACATAGATATTGATATTGATGTTATTATGATACATTAAGCGGTATCGAAAGAAAATACCATAAAGGGTATCAATAGTATCGTTATCTTAGTATTGAATACCGAGTTACCCAGTATCGAAACCAAAGTATCGATACCAAGGTTATATAAGTAGNTTGCATTAAGAGTTTAAATGCCAAAAGCAAGCCTGTGATCTTCAAAAATTTCCACGATTCGAACATGGTTTAATGAGAAAAAGTGGCAACATTGCTTTTTCGCGTATACGGTTGCTAGCTGCGTTTCAGTAATCGGTAAACAAATTATTGAAATTTATTGATTTGATGTGTTTAACATTTCATTAATACAAATTTCTTTCTTTTCAGACCACAAATTACAAGCAGAGCTTCATCAACGATCATTGCAAGGAGAGCTACTGCAATCCCTGCGGTTTTTCCTCTAGGTAAATGCGTTCTGGGTAGAGCTGCAAAAGTATCGATATTCGCCGTACTCGATATTTAAGAGACAAAAACTCGATATATCGATATATATCGTTAATTTTTAATTCTACACTGAAAAACTGAAAAACATCTCATTCAAAAAATGAATAGAACCATTTACCAACAGAAAATTTTATTATATATGTATATGAGGTACATATCTCTGTTCGTATGGAAAAGTAGCTTATGTCGAAGGGCTGGATTTAGTATAAATCGGTATTCGCAGCATGCATGTTGTTTGGCGCAAAAATAAGTAATGAGAAAATGGCTAAGCCACACTCGATATCGAACAAAAACTATCGATGTCTGCAGAAAAAAAACAAAAAAACTCGATATATCGATACTGACATCGATATATTTGCAGCTCTAGTTCTGGGCGTGACAAAGGATGGTCTTCCAAATCAGCCGGAATCCCCAAACATCTATTGTACAATGTTAGCATTGGAATTCCATAGTGCAAACTCTTATCCTCATAACATTTTTATTTGCGTTTGTAGGAGCGTCTGATAGCCCACTTGCGATACATAAATAGAAAATACAAAACGTGGCGAAGGACTTGTATTTGAAGATGATGAGTACACAACATTGGAGACTGAGAACATGAAGCTAAAGCATAGATTAGCAATTCTGAATAATACTATGTTCGGACCGACATCGAAAACATGTTTTCGTTGCTATAACTGGTTTTGGCGAAATTAAAATATTAACAAAAGAAAAAGGTTGCTAATGATAATAAAATTAAAGAAAAAGATTTTGATTTTGTTTTGTTTGCTACGAAAAAACAAAATCAAAATCTTTGTCTTTCATTTTCTTATCATTACAACCTTGTGGGCTGAAAGCTGTTCGCACCCGTGTTTTCGTTGACATTTTCTTCATCCTTTGTTTGCAAATTTGCTATGAAAAACCAAAACCAAAATCTTTTTCTTTCATTTACTTACTATTAGCAACCTTTTTCTTTCATTTATATATCAATTTGGCCAGCCAATTGGCAATAAATCCCAACTTCCATATTAAAGATGATAAAATATGACTTCCACTTCGATAAATATACCAAAAAACTAGTGAAGACACCAATTGGAATGAGTGGAACGTTAGTTTTCAAATAGTTTTTGTTATGTGAGCAGCCCCCGTCAGCAGCTCAGATGACTGAACAGTTTAAGCTTAAAAAGTCTGCATAAAAATATTAAAACAAAAATGTTCTAGGTAATCATAATAATCAAATTTTTGATACCGATATTGACTTTTGAGGTATAATTTTAATTTCTTTGCGAATAAGCTCATTCAAAGTATGAAAGTAAGTGTAACGTGGCTGGCTTTTGGGGCGAATTACGGTGGTACTAAGGCATGCTGGCGTCATTACCACCAATCTCACCTCTATCTAGCAGGATTTGCAGCGTTGAATTTAAATAAAAAAAAAAACAGTTCTTTCCGTTTTAACGGATTGACGTAATTACTTAAGCAGCGAAAAATTACACTGAAGATGGCACAACGCCGAAACCGGTTTGTCTCCAAACCAAATTTGACAAGGGATGACGGAAAACCGTTCCACATTACATTAAACAACAATACTTTAACTTTTTTTATTTTACTTTCTGTCTTTCACACCGACTCGAGACTTCTCGAAACTAACGCACTTTTCTTTCTGATCAAAAAGAACTTTTCTTTGCCGATCGTACCCTGCAGCATTTGCCGCCCTTTGAAACCTCCTTTCACGATGCCACTTTCACTCAAAACGATAAACGATCGCACGCATCCATCGATACTTCACCGCTTTCATCGCACTCATACTAATGTAAATGTATTCCTACGCTTAACACAAACATTCATAGTTCAGGCCGACCACGTACACATGTGTGACTAGGCATAACGTTAGGCAATCAATAAAACAACGGAACACAAATAATGATTGCGACATTCCCTGGAATGCATTTTCAATAAGTTTGGCTTTCTCCAACTCTGTCTTGAGTGCTGAGTTTTCACCCTCAGATTTTCAATTCTTGACTTCAGCAACAGAATTTCGAGTTTGTAGCTGGATTGTTCTAAGTCTCCACTAAGCGACTTAAATTAAAAATATTTCTATAAATATATCACGTTTTAACAATGCTTACTCAGTTTGTGAAGCGCGATCATTTATTAAGCTTTCACAACTTGATTTATGAGTTGCAGTGTTGGAAGGACTTTCCGGCATAAGGGTCATAGGAAGAGCACTTGGCATCAAACGTGCCTTTCCTGTACCTCCTGGTGCATTTATGAAATCTGCTGCTTTAAAATGCACAGCAAGGCATTTCGCTGCAGCTCTACCCCACAGCTGCTTTCCCAACGCTCCTTACGCCGAGGGCATTGAGGCACGTTAAAAAAATTAGTGATGTCTGCATTATATTTAACACCACATAAAAAACAACGCTTCAGGTGTTGTATTTTTAACACATACACTAAGTATAAACCGCTTCTACCTGTATTTATGTGCCTTGAAATGCGATAGCATGAACGCTCTTCGAAAAAATATGTTCGAAAAAGCTAAACGTTAAATGCAGTAAAAACGCTGCGTTAACCTCTTGTCGTACATACGAGTCAAATACTCTGTAGCACAGAATACCAGTAGAGAAGATTTTTGTTTTTATAAATGTTTCGTGGTGAAAGTCCTTTATGGGGACCAAATTTCCCCACAAGAAATTGAGCGCATGGTTGCTTTCGCTTGCCTAAAGAACGAATATTAGAAAACATAAAAAACAGTCTGAGATAATGCAATTATATTCTACTAAAAATAAACAAAATAATTTGCACTAATTAAATAATATGATAATCAAGTGTAAAACCTCTTTTAAANAGTCTGAGATAATGCAATTATATTCTACTACAAATAAACAAAATAATTTGCACTAATTAAATAATATGATAATCAAGTGTAAAACCTCTTTTAAACTCTTACTTTTCTTAAAATAATATTGCGGATCAGATCGCTCTGAGCGCTTGTGGTAAAATGTTTTTTACCAAGAAAATGCAGCACTCCTAATTTTTATTTAAGTATCGCATCGTGGTGAGTTTCTATTTCTTGGTAATTCAGTTTGTGAAATGNGGTAAAATGTTTTTTACCAAGAAAATGCAGCACTCCTAATTTTTATTTAAGTATCGCATCGTGGTGAGTTTCTATTTCTTGGTAATTCA